TCTGATATCGTTTTGTTTTGTTTCTTGAGAAAGGTTTCTCTGTGTAACAGCCTTAGCTGTCTTGGAACTCACTCTGTAGACCACGCTGGTCTCAAACTCACAGAGATCTACCTTCTTCTGCCTACCAAGTGTGCAAACTGCCCAGCTTTAATTCTGGTTTTTTTAAAATGTGAAATTATTTTGAATTTCCTTTTAATCTTGAAGCTATTTTTTTTTTTTGCATATAGAATCCCGCTTTCCTTCCTATCTAACTATCTAGATTTTAGAGCCTCAAGGGCTGTGGCCTTCATTTTCTTTCTTTCTTTTTTTTATTAAAGATTTTATTTATTTATTTATTATGTATACAACATTCTGCCTCCATGTATGCCTACAGGCCAGAAGAGGGTGCCAGATCTCATTACAGATGGTTGTGAGCCACCATGTGGTTGCTGGGAATTGAACTCAGGTCCTCTGGAAGAACAGTCAATGCTCTTAACCATTGAGCCATCACTCCAGCCCCGGCATTTATTTTCTTGTGACCATCCTCATTTTTAATGAGAGGTCAGTGGTCACAAGACTTTCCTTATAATGAGATTCCCCCACCCCCCTCCCCATGTCTCTTTTTCAGCCTTCTTTTTCATGGTGCAGATTTTGTTCTAATTATGTCTGTGTTTTTCTTTCTGTTTATTTTACTTAGGGTTTGTTGACTTTCTCCATCAGTTGATTATTTAAAAAAAAAAAGAAATCAAATTAGGGCTGATGGTGGTGTGTGCCTCTAATCCCAGCACTCAGAGAGCAGAGACAGATGTATCTCTGTGAGTTCGGGGTCAATCTGGTCTACAGAGAGAGTTCCAGAATGGCCAGGGCTGTTACACAAAGAAACCCTGTCTTGAAAAACAAAACGAAACAAACAAACAAAAAAAGAATAGAAAAACTTCACCTATATGCTGTTGGAACTCCTTCAGCCAATAGCCTTTAAGATACCAGCCCACTTTGGGTATGGTCTCATGTACTATAGATGCAGACATAAAGCTTGAGTAGGCCTCTTGTTGGCTGTTCCCCACTCACACAGAAGACTGCTGATCAGTGCTTTTTCTGTGAGTCTACCCTGAATAAACAAAACTTTATTATACTCCATTCTGGGCTAGTGTGGGACTATTTTATTATAAATTGCAACAGATTGGCACTCACGTGGAACCCAAGTTCACTCCACTACCGAGATCTGTCCAGAAGGTCTGCAGCCTTCTTCAGACCAACATTTTGTAAGTCAGCCATTGGAAATAATACATAAACAATTTCCTAAAACTATAATTTACCATTATATAGATGAATTTTTCTATCTGCTTCAAATGTAGATACTTTAGAAAGAATGTTTGAAGAAGCAAAAAAACTTTTGCCTAAATGGGGATTACAAATTGTTCCTGAAAAATTCTAAAGAAGTACCTAGGTTATAAAATAGGTTTACAGAAAATTAGATGGAGTTGAAGACTAGATAGTCATAATTACTTTCCTTTCATGACTTAGCCAAGCCATTTCTAATGTAAGACTTAGACTCCCTAGGACAGGATAACTATTGAGACATTTAGCACATGTTTCTTGCTTGATATTGTTTATTCTGGTTGTAATTCTAATTTTTATACTTGATATTTGTTCTTATTGTATGCAGTTTGTATTGGGTTTGGAACTCTCTTATTTAGATAAAAGGGAGAGATGCTTTGGGAACTCCTTCAGCCAATAGCCTTGAAGACACCAGCCTACTTTGGGCATGATCTCATGTACTATAAATGCAGACATAAAGTGTATGCAGGCCTCTTGGCGGCTGGATTCAGTTCCACCTCCTTGCTCATGTCAAGGACTGCTGATCAGTGCTTTTTCTGTGAGTCTACCCCTAAATAAATAAACCCTTATTATACTCCATTCTGAGCTACTGTGTGACTATTTTGTTATAAATTGCAACACCTATATTTTCTTAAATATATTTTGGTATTCCTTTCTCTATGTGTTTGGCTATGTTTTATAAGTAAGTCTTCAAGGTCCTATCCATTCAGAAAGAAAAAGTTGGTTATGGTCACACCTCCTTGTAATTCAGGAACTCAGGCTTGATAGATGTGTATTTAGAGTCTGAGTCAATCCTGGGCTGCACAGAAAGTTCAAGAGCCATGTGAGCTAATAGGGATCCCTTATTGTTAAAAGCAAAGCAAATGATGAAGATGTAGTTCAGTGGTTTCATCTCCAAAACTATAAAAACAAAATCACTATTGTGTTTGGTTTTGAATATGTGATTTAGTGTGTGTGTGTGTGTGTGTGTGTGTGTGTGCATGTGTATGTGTGTACATGCAGAGACCACAGGTTGATGTTGGTGTCTTTTTTAATTGTCCTCCATTTTACTTTTGAGAAACAGCGAATACTGGGGTTGACCAGATGGCCAACAAGTCCCAGGGCTCCTCCAGTCTCTGTTTCCTTGTTGAATTCAGGTCCTCATCCTTGTGAGACAAACATATTAACATATGAGCCATTTCTCCACTCCTCTTTTCCTTGCTATTGACTCCACCAATACATTTGACTCCAGCTATTATACTCTTTAGCTTTGCTATTTTAGTTCATATCCTTCTTGAATTTTGTTTTACTCATTATCTTTTCCTCTAGATTATTTTAATGTATATTTTTAATTTGAACGTCTTTCTTGTTCAATGCTAGCATGTTTTGTTTCCTACTGACCATACATTATGATTTCTACTCTATATTCCTACTAGTTGTAGTTATTATAATGTTTTTAGTTAAAATAGAATTATATCACTTTCCCTCCTCCCTTTTTCCTTTAGCTACTCCTATCTGCCTTCCCCTGCACCCTTCTCATGCTCACCTCAAATTGATCATTACAAATTATATTTATGTATGTGTATTTACATATATTTATATTGCTGCTGAGTCCATTGCTGGTCAATACAGGGCTGACCACTACTTTGCACTGGACAACAAACAGGAGGCTCATCTCTGGGGGAGGCTAATTTTCCTACTTGCAGGAATCATTACAGTCATTGGTTGCCTGTAGTTCTTTGTCTAGAGTGGAACCCCACAGAATTTCCTCCTTCCCCATTAATGTGTCATCAATATTGACATTGTTCCAGTCTGTTTATGTACCCATTTCTAGGAGATACTTCACAGCAGAATTGTCTCCTCTTCAATGATTTTCTCTGAACCATAGATGCAAGAGCTGTGATGTAGATATATCCATTGGTGCTGGGCTTCCCATGATCTATTACTTCTGTATCGTGTCCACTTGTGGTTTTCTGTGATAGTTTTCATTTGCTGTGGGGAGACTTTTTTGTTGACAGTTGGTAGCTACACTTATCCAGGAAAGGTGGCTCATAAACAACATGCCAATCAACGTGGGGATGTTTTGCTTCCATGTGTGATTGACTGTGCACCACTTGTGTGCCTGGTGCACGAGGAGATTATAATAGGGGATTGGATCCTAGCTGGAGTTATAGACTACCGTGAGGCACTGCGAGGGTCCTCGGAATTACTCCTGGGTCCTCTGGAATAGCAAGGATTTTTGAAGATTTTAATTGAATTACATTTCTTTTCTTTTCCTTCCCCAAACCTTACCATATATCCTTCCTCACGCTCCTTCAAATTCACGGCTTGTTTCCCATTGTTATTGCATACATGTAATAATAGCAATATAACCCATTTAGTCCATATGTTGTTATTTTTATGTTCTCAGGACTGGCCATTGGCACTGAAAAAGCAGTTGGTATGCTCTTCTCTGGGGACCACCTCTCCTCCTCCCAGCTTCCCTCAGTTGCCTATAGTTCTTTGTGTAGGGTTGAGTCCTCATGGGCTTTGCTCCACCCACTTTGGCACATGCATCTGTGCCAGTGCATGATTGCCCATCAGCAGTATGCTGTGAGATTGTCTCCTAGCAATAACAGAGGCAAGTGCTCTCAACTCTCTTCAAACCTTGATTTCTTTCCCTAAATAACATTAATTCTTCTTAGTGGGCAGGTTAGTTACTAACTAGTTCCTTAATCTTTATTAAGGCTGTTTTTCTTAAGATGTAGGCACAGGCCCTGTTGATGGTTTCTGTTCCTAATGCCCAGGCATTTAGGAGTTTCGGTGGAAAGCTGAGTTCTTTGTCAACTTCCTGTTTGGTCAGATGAACTTGAAACTGTCTCCTTTGTGCTGAGCTGCTGCTGAAAATACTTGAAGCGTAACAGTTATTTTCCCCATAGTTCCTGCTCTGTGTAGAGTTTAAGAGTAAGCCAAGACCTTGGAATTTGAAGGTAGATTTTGTGGCTACTTACTATGAAACTATCATTTTTAAAATTCCCTCCCTTGGTAATTAGCTACTCGGCCTTTCCTAGACTATGAGACTCCTTATCATGAACCAGCACCTCCACGCAAACCCTCTTAACATGGAGATTATTATGACCACAACTAAAGATCTGAGTGCCTCCAGTTGTTTCTATTTTATACCTAGATACTGTTACAGTGGTTTTGAGAGGTTTTACAGTGAGTTTTTCTTTTTTCCGTTTTACTTTTTTTGAGACAGGGTTTCATGCAGCTGAGGCCAGTCTCAAACTCAGTCTATAGCAAGCAGCACCATGAACTTCTGATCCTTCTGTCTCCATCCCAATTGGGATTACAGGCACCACTCATTGTACTTGACAAATTTATTTACTTAAAATATAAATTAAACTTTTTAAAAGACGGGGTTTCACTGCATTGTTCCAGCTGGCCTGAAACTTCGCTACGTAGACCAGGCTGACATTAAACTCACAGAGATCTGCCTGCAGCTGCCTCCCAAGTGCCTAGATTAAAGGGAAAGGCCAGTGTCACCGTACTACCATACCTTTGTTCTTTTAAATTAGCAAATAAAAACAATGGATTTCCACATCATTACTATGCTACATGTATGGTCCATATCTTCCTTCATAAAATAGCTGAGGATGAGAACTGGAAAGTATAGGGATGATGCACCGCTTGGAAAGGTGGCAAGAAAATTAACTGTACAGATATAGAGATTAAATTGACCAAAACATGTTTTATTACATTTATTGATATTACAAATGGCATCATACATTGTAAATGCAGTATCTGTTTATACACTATACATTCATCTATACTGTGAACCATGTCACTGAAATGATAAGTGTCAAGAGACGGAGGGTGCAGCTGAGCGGGTGAGAGCTTGCCTACCGTGTGTGAGGCCCTGGAGAAGAGTCATAGCACCTGAAAAGAGAAGGTCCCCAAATCATGAATTTCATGAACAAGAGCTATGTGCTCAAGTTAAAATTTCTATTTTTTTTTTATTGTTGTTGCTTTTCAAGTTTAAACTTCATGAGACAAAGCTTGTGGCTTTGGGGATGGAAGGGTTATTCTTGGCTCCAAGGAGCATGATCTTTGACATTGCTCACAAAGAATGAGAGAATGATCAAGGTTAATGTCACACGCCTTCCATTCTCATCCCAGTTTCAAGATGCCGCTTTGGAATTTTGGGAGAAAAATGAACAGAACTTTTGTTAAAAGAAGGACTCTTCATTTTCTAAGAAACAAAGGTTTTTTTCCTCAAAGTACGCCAGCTAACTGCTTGTCTGGACACTGGCTCCAGGCATAGGTCATGAGTCTATATGCGAAACACCGGCATGAATATTGCAACTTACAAAGAACTTGCAATACAGCTTGACAGAAGTTTCCCTCCATCCACCATGTGGGCCCAAGGATGGAATTTAGGTCATCAGGCCCCTAGCCTTACTCACTCGCCATCTCACCAGTCCTAGATGACAATTTTCCTCTGTCATCTAAAAGTTTTCTAAGGTTACATCAAGATGACTGGGGCAAACAGGCCACAATAAAGTCTCCAAAACTGAAACCAGAAACCACAATCAAGTAAGCCACTTTCTCCTCTTTAGGTAGCTATTCTAAGCAAAGAAATGTTTGGGGTATCCCTCCCTCAGATTAAAGGGCTATTCATGGCTATTTACAGCCAGGGGTGTCTATTATTCCTAGAAACGAGGGCCAGCACACAAACGGAAATTCAGGTTGCTCTCTGATAGAAACAAAAGGTAACAGCAATGTCGTATTTATTGGAACAAAGAATTCCTTACAGTAAAAATTCCTAGACAATCCACACGAAGTAAGAACCATTTAATAACCACTGACTATATGCTCTATTTTACTGAGAGTTCAACATACCCCTTCCTGAAAAACATACAATACAGATAGCATTTTATAAGAACTCAGGAGTCACAGAGCTGCAAATCTATAAAAATACAAATGAAAGCCTAAGTGTTATTATGTGAAAAGATTACAGACACAGGGCTTCTGACTCTAGAAAAGTTAATGCAAGTGAAAATCAACATCCATGTTTCATAAACGTTCTGAGTTTAAAATGTTGCTGCATCTAGCATTTAAGCCTTCCTCCCCTCCCGACACACACACAGGGGACACAAGACATTCCTAACCATATACTATTTTTGAATGCACACTCAAAAGGGTAACTACTTTTAAAACTTAAAACATGTACTCAGTAGTACCAAAAATAAGATCAGAAGGACACTGATGCTTGAGAAACTGTGTGTGCTGGGGACTTAGGCCAAGTGCTCTACCACTGAGCGACATCCCCAGGCTGCTTTTTCTGTTCTGAGACAGGTTCTTTCCAAAGTGCTCAGTCTGGGCTTGAATTCAATCTGTATGACCCTTTTGCCCCTGCCTCGGCTTCCTGAGATGGGAGTACAGGCTTGCCTTGAGAAAATGTCTCCTTGTAACAGTTTTGTACAGAAACTCTATACCCTATAGCACTATATCCTATCAGGTGTAGTGGGGGAAGACAGACTCATGATATATAACCAGAGTGGCAAATGATTCAACAGATGAAGTTTGGGGTAGCTATGTCTTAAGGAAGAAGTGTGAAAGTTCACCTGGTAGCAGATAAAGCAGACCATGCAAAGAGAATGCATGGGACAAGCCCTAGATGGTAAAACTGTGGAATGCATTCGAGAGAAGGTAAGAAATGAGATGGGGGCGATGCTTACCTTTTCCCTCAAGCACCATTTTAGCAGATGACATGGCTCCAGCAATGATCATCCCATGTCTTTGCTGTTTCCTTAGTAATGGAAACACTTGCACTCTTCACAAAGCTTAAGACAATCTAAATCTTGTTATCATTCTTAGGGGACTTAGGAGCATGGGGGATGTGGATTCCACACCAATCTTCAACAACCGAACTGTCCACCCTATGAGAAATCATTGACTGGCTAAGTAAACTGTCTCCTAATTAACTTCTCAGTCTAAGTATTCTTTGATGGACATTCTGGACTTGCCTACTTTACAAATCAAAAAATGATAGAGGTGAGAATCACACGAAGTGATAGGCCCAGAACTCTGGCAATCTAACCCCATCTAAACCACATTTAAACATGAAGAGGTTTAATGATCAAGTTTGTATCTAATAGACTGAGCTGCCGAGCACCTCATTATTTTTGGCTGCTTCTGGGTATGTTTTTGGGGATGAACAGTAAAACATGCAGTGAGCAACTACCCCCCTCCGCTGCACCCCACTGTTGAGCCTCACTCCAACTGAAGGCCAGAATGGAACAAAGATGTTAACCCTTCCTGTTTCATCTGAAGAACTCCTGCTTGGTTGCCCTGAGCTGTCTCCCTGGCTTTCGCTTGCCTCTGGATACAAATGGAAACAGAATCTTCTGGATCTCAAGTGTGCTGGCTTTTAGGCTGGTTTTCCTGGTTGTCATGCTTTTGGATAGTGACTGGAACTGCCACCATTCTTGAGTCTAGCTTGATGATTGTGGGTCTTTTAGAAATTCTAAGCTTCCTTCACACGAGGCAACTCCTTATGACTTTCTACATGTACATCCTATTGGCTTGGCTTCTCTGGAGACTAATACGGGGCGAATTAGTATTCTTACGACTGTTAAGAATAGAGATTACACTGAAGTGGTAGGGATTGGGCCGAGCCATACCATTCTAGTGAGCAGACCTTTCCAAAAATGGAGTTTATATTAGAGACTGCCATTCAGGAATGGTTACGCTACAGTGGTGAAGCGTTAATGATAAGGTTAGGACTTTATAAAAAGGGACACCAGATGGTCTGTTCCCTACTCTCTTCGCCATAGGAGGAGTCTTTATTAAAAATGATCACACTTGAGATGAATACAGAGGAAGTTGCCATCACCGAGATAAGGTTAGGATATGTACATTTTAGAAAAGATTGTTGTCCTGTTCCCAAATTTACTGTTTCACTTTAATGTATGTGGACATAACTGTAGCTAGCAACCAATCTGAATGAAGGTCATAACAGATGAAATTCACGATGTTTTCCACCAGATTATATAGATGAAGTTCTATGGTATGGTGGGGGTGGGGGGAGAATTCAGCAAAATAAATACTTTTTTAATGCAGAACAGTCAACGGCTCAAACAATGTAAACAGTTAGAATATTTGATTTTGTGCATATTAAAAGTGCAGTCTTGGGGCTGGAGAGCTGGCTCAGCAGTTAACAGAGCACCTCCTGCTCTTCCCAAAGACCAACTCATTCGTTCCCAGGACTCATGCCAGGCAGATCCCAAGCATCTACAGCTCTAGCTCCAGGGCACCACACGCCTCTTCTCGTATCCAAGGGCACCCTCGCATATGGCATACACTCTCACATACACGAAGATAAAAATTATTTAAAAATGCAGTCTAATCTTCTAGTGTTATACTATTTAAAATATCATTTCCGAAGAGACAGTTCTATTTTTAGCACCTTTGCAGAATGACATTAACTAAACTTTTGGCAAGAGGACTAAACCTCAACAAGCCAACGCTAAACCCCACCTGACTGACTTTCCTCTCTACCTTCAAAACTATTGTCCAAAATATTATAACTCAATTTTTGAGTAGTTTATTCTACTTTTAATTCCCACACTATAGGATGTTTCAACGACTCTGCCTAGCTGAAATGCTGAAGCAGAGCTGAGAAATAATTAGATCATGGTACGATAGAGGTTATGTTTTTCAATGCTTATAATTACCAAAAATAACACTTGGATTGCGTTTATTAGCCTTTCTTTAAAGATAAAAACAATATATCCAGCTTTATACGATCATGTCATCTAAACTATATAGCAATTTCTCCTCTAATTTATAGTAGACATGAATTAAACACAAAACATACACATACTGAATTAAAGTGTCCCAAATCTAGAAAGCTTAAGAAAAATAGTTTTCCCTTTAGGAAAAATCTGGCCATGACACAATATATAACACCCATCTGCAGCTGCAGAACCAAGGGCCCATTTATTCTCTATCTTCTGGTCAAGGAGTACTTAAGAGAATTACCTGAGAGCATCAGGAGATTTTCAAGAGAAACTATTTCAAACTTCTGACAGGACAAATTATTCAATGAGAAAAAAAAATAAATTTTGCTATAAAGTAAAAAATATAAAGACTGCCCTGTTCTTTGGCTTCAGAACTAAGTTTTCATTTGACCACTTTCCTGACCTTCCGGAGGATCTGACTCCTTGAATGGGACACAGGATCTCCTTACAGGACTACCTTACCTAAACTGGCAAGAGGATGCCCATTTCATCTGCACCTGTGTGCCAGAACAAGTAGGCAGGCAGCCATCACACTACAGCCCGGAGAAGGCTGGAAAGCAGGGAAATGGCCTAAAAGCCAGCCGCGTACCAATACTAACACAGTACCAGTGGTGACCACAAATCCCTCCTCAGGCAGCCACTTCCTCACTGTCTCTAAGTCTGGCTTCTTTCTTCTTAGACAGCCTCACCTCAGCTCGTAAGAAAAGCACTGTCCTCACGTAATACCTATTTTGGTGTTAGCTGACTTTATGCTGGAATTTTGGTCGTAGCTGATTTTCTTTATGCTGAGATCAATGTTTTGTGTGGTTCTTAATACCTGGTTGTCTGGAAAGCAAGGATAAACACAGAATCACTAAAATCAGATTGTAAGCAAAAGCCAGAATCACATAAAGCACCAGGCTGCAGTTTCTTCATGGAGATCATTTCAATATAAATATACGGGCCAGTGAGCTAGCTCGGTGGGTAAAGGGACTTTCTGTGAATCCCTGAAGACACAGCTGGACCTCTGGGGGGAGAGAAATGATCCCGCTATCTGCTGGCTACCCTGTGCTCGCTCACCATGGTACACGGTGCCCTTCAGCCAACTAGGAAAACACACTAAGGTGAGGCGGCTCAGCAGGTAAAGGCACTTCCATCATCGTGGGGAGCCACACGGTAGAGAAGAGAACGTAGTCCCGCCCAAACAGTCCTCTGACCTCCACACATGCGCCATGACACATGCACAAGCACTCTCCTTCCCAAATGAGACATAATAGAAGAATTCAGGGTTGGATTTGGTGGAATGGTTTACGTTCTATATCACAGACTAGTTAACATTTAATCAAAATAGCGAATAATGTAAATAAGTTGATAAAGTTCATTTTGGAAAGAAAAGCTAAGTATACCAGATGATACTCTTCTAACTAGAGGAGAAGAAGGTATTTTGGGAGGCAAAATTATCTAGTGCCACTTCCCATGCAGATAGAGAGATCAGTAACAAGTACCACATTGCTCATGAAACTCTTCCTGATGGAAGACAAGATGATCTCATTGGAGTTCTCTGGTGAGAAAGGCACTGTGACCCAGTGAGGCTGTGCGCGCCACCGTGACACAGCGAGCTGGCGCGCTTCACCGTGACACAGCGAGACGGGTATGTACCACGGTGACACAGCGAGCTGGCGCGCATCACCGTGACACAGCGAGCTGGTGCACGTCACTGTGATACAGCGAGGCGGGTATGTACCACGGTGACACAGCGAGCTGGCGCGCGTCACTGTGACACAAGAGGTGGCATGCTTTGAGGGCTGAATGCTGACATAGGAACTGTGAAATGAGGACTTTGTTTACAACGTATGTATGGGAGGTGAGGATGATGACCGCTCCTACCACACAGCTTTTGTGGGACGCAATGTGATGATGCACATAAACGCTTGAATACATTGGCTGGTCTAGAGTAAGCCTCTCAATAAACAAAGACTATTATTGTCATTATTATTGTATAGGTGAAGAAACAGACTAAAAAGATTAAGCTCAAAGTCATGATTACTAACAGGCAAAGTTAGAAATATAATTCTAATCTAAATATATTCCTACTACCCTGTATTACCATATGGATATCTCCTTTTAATTCTTTTTATGCTACAAAGCTTATTTTTGTAAATGAAGCTATCATTTCAGATTCAACGGCACTGACAGCACTTGATTTAAAATTTTTCTTTTCAGTAGGAAGGAAATTAATGGCAGGCATTAAAAGGATGTGGTCTTAGTCAGGGGGATAGTGCTGCCCATCTGTAATCCCAGTACTTGAGAGGCCTAGGCAGGAAGATCAAAGACTTGGAGCCTGGCCTGGGATATAGGCCAGCCTCAGATCCACTCAAAAACTAAACAAACGAATCACCAAGTAAATAAACAAAAGAAACTAGTCTCTTTGGAAAATCAGGATGGAGACTATATCTAGGTATGTAAGAGGTTAACAATGACTTCTATTACTTACAAAAAAACGAGAGAAAAAGAGAGAGGGAGAGAAAAAAAGGAAAAAGAACAAAAAGAAAGAAATAGCTCATGGGCAGAATGAATGTATGCTCAAAAGCAGGCAGAAGGCTATGCAGCTTGCTCATTGAATATGTGCATTAAAACAGACAAAAGCAGCCCAAGTCTAAAACATCCTGGTAGGACGTGACTCACTCTGTACCTTGTACTAACTGTAATGTACTGTAAAGACATCTATGCAGAGAACAGGGAATTGACTTTAACGGTTCCAGGGTAAGAAATAAAAGACTAAATAAGGCCTTCAACAGCTTTATTGAAATCTGTATAAATAAACATGCACATTTCAAATGTAAACTCAAGTGAACCCAAGTGCTGACAAAATATTAACCTCTGTCATGCAGGAGGTTAGTTTACATAAAAAAGAACAAAGAAAAGAAAAAAAACAAAAAAAGAAAGAAAAGAAAAAATAAACACCCAAAGCAGCCTTTAAAAGACCAGGATGAAAAACCCGCTTTAATATCAAGATATAAAGCAAAGCCATGATCAACATACCTTACTTATCCTGGTCAAATGCACTTTTCTCCCTTTTCTTTTAAAATGCTAACATAAATAAATAATTTACCAAAATGTGCACTCACAGAGTGAACTTTTATTTACAATACACAATTTATAATCTATTGTATTTGATTAGTTCAAGTGAAGAACATTATACTTTTTGCTTTAATAACAGTGGGACACGAAGCGGTTTCTCAGGTAGTCATATGTGAAGTGTGCCCCAGCATTTAGTCTCCTATTAAAGGCAGTATTGTATGCCAATCAATGATACATTCTTTCAACTGGATCATAGGGAAAGAAAGCAGCAAATGAAAACGTTTCAAATGCTCACATGTATTTGGCATCCTGGATCCTTGAATGTAAGAAACTGAAAGAAAACCCAAGGTTTGTAGCTTCCTATGCTGCTGCACAGGTCTGACTCTGGGAACATGCAAACGCCCTCTCTCTTATACACGTGCCCTTCTGAGAAAGCTGTAAGGCTATGGTGATTTCCATCAGGAACGCACAGAGAAAGTGAACAGACCTACCTCTAGAGCCAAGTTATCAGGAGTCAAAGGCTAGCACATGGACAAAGTTCCCTCACCTAAGACTAATGCCACTTTCACTTCAGATACAGAATACTACTCAGTCTGTCCTTACGTCATGGTAACCGGGAGAGCTAAAGAGTTGGGCTAAATCACCAAAAACGGGGCAGAGAACAACAGAGAGCCAAAAAACTGAATTTGGACCAACAGTGGATGAGAGATAAGCATTTAAAGCCAAAACAAATCTGAGATTTTGAAGAACAGATTCCAATGGCAGTGAGGGATACTTACACGTGGCTGAAAAATGACTTGTGGCGGACTGTGAAATCTAGAGCCTGCTCCCACAGTGCGGTAGATGCAGTGCTTTGTGTTTTAATGATGCAACAAAAGGAAATTATGCCAAGATTATTTCTCATGGTACGATTTTTTTTTTTTTAAACAGACCCACATTGATTACCAGGGACAGATTTGAAAATCTGGCTTTCCAAAGACACACTGCCGTATGTGTGCCGCACGGACACTGCTGCGGAACACCGGAGTGGTGCAGACAGCAGCCTAACACACACCAACTACATTACCCAAGAACTAAGTTCAGCCATAGTTTTCTTGCAGTATTATTAGAGCAAAATTAATGACCAACATCCACAAATTTAACATTTGTCATCAATTAAGTCACATCCAAAAAAATTAAAGAAAACATAATTCGTCAAAACAGCAGCAAACTTAAAAGGGATTTATTTGTGATTTCCTATATATATTTAGCTTGTAAATACAAGACCGTAGATGTATTCAGAGACAATTTCTGTTAAAGTTTTCATTGTGTTTCACTTCAAGTACTGCACAAGTTAAAATCTGATAAAGGATTTACATTCGGTTATCTGAAACGCCTCATCTCAGACTCTGTTTTAATGTGGTGGATCACTTCATTTCCATAGACACCACCAGCAGGAAAGTCTCTCTTTATGGCTTCTCCGACTTTCATTAATTAGTGTGCATACAGTTTTCATTTTCTATGTCATTGTCATTATCATTGCTGTCTTCGTCACTTTCCAGGGGGATACCTGTGGCAGCTGAAGCACCTTTAGTTTCTCGGTCAAGAGGGAAGAAGCCAGTTCCGCTGAAAGTGTCTTGTCTCTGGTAGAAGAGTACGTATGCTGCTTTGGACTGTCAAACAAGCAGAGGATGTCAACACACAAAGATCTTATTTGATACAGTATGGATTTTTAGCTAACAACCAATTTTAGTGACAAAAAATAAAATAGAAAAACTACACATGACCAAATGGAAGTTTATAAAATTGGCTAAATGTAATTATTTCTATACTTAAAAATAAGTATTTTCATTCAATATAAATTGGACTAAGAAATATATACAGTTGAAACACAATGAACTTATTTACTATAATATGAAATACAATTGTTTTGCTTTCTTTTAACGTGTCTTTCTAGCCAAGACTACAGGTTTCAGCTCAGCCTCGATCTCCAGCGCAATGTCCTCTTACTGTATTAACACTTCCCTGATGGATAAAAATGTTGAACATTGTCCCCAGTATTTATCAGGAAAATACTAATTTTTAAAAAAGACATGAAAGCACAAGAAGATGACTAAGGAATTGAAAAGGGGAAGAGAGGAAGAAAGATAAGAGAATAAAAGTTTTTCCTTTTTGAGAGATATATTTTCCTTGTGTAGCCCTGGCTGTCCTGGAACTCATTCTGTAGACCTAGTAGCTCTGCAGAACCCAGAGATCCACCTGCCTCTGCCTCCTGAGAGCTGGGACTAAAGGTGTGCAGCCATAACTCACAGCTTGAAAAAATTATTCTAAAAGAATATTTTCCATCAACCATAACTACAGATTTTAAAATTTGTTAATTTTTAAACATTTATATTAGTTTTGTCTGCATGTACGTCTGAGCATCACTTAGAAACTCAATGCGTGAAGAAGTCAGAAGAGAACACTGGATCCCATGGAACCAGAGTTAGAGACAGTTGTGAACTTCCATGTGGGTGCTGGGAATCAAAATCAGGCTCTTAACCACTGAGCCATCTTTCTTGCTCTTGTATCATTAAAGAAAAAAAAAGTCAGGCTGAATATATGAATCTACAGAAAATTAAAATATTTCTGCCGAGCAAAGGAAACAATCAGCAAAGTAAACTGACAGTCCACATAATGACAGAAAAATCTTTGCTAGCTACATCTCAGCCATTTAAATCTACATTAAATATATAAAGAACTAAAAAAAATTAAACACCCTCCCAATCAAAAATGTCAATCAATAAATGGGCCAATGAAATATACATTTCTTAAACTCAAATAGCCAATAGTTTTAAAAATATTAATCACGTTTAGCCATAAGAAAATGCAAATTCAGAGTGTCCATCTCACTGCAGTCAGCGTGGCTAAGAGCAAGAAACAAAGGATAGGTGCTGTTGGGGATGTAGGGAAAGCGGACCTTCATTAACTGCTGGTGGGAGTGGGAACTAGTCCAGACAGCCCGTTATATTGCTGCTACATTCACACAACAGTGAATCACAACCAGTCTATATATATATTCATTAACAGATGACTGGATGCTGAAAATAAGATGTATGTGTGTGTGTATATATATGTATATATATGTATATATGTGTATATATGTGTATATATATATATAACACATACACAATGGGATTGTATTTAACAGTCAAGAAAAATGAAATAATACATTTTCAGGAAAATAAATGATCTAGTGGGATGACTTGAGCTCAAAAAATATAAAAATCCTATTTTCTCATAAGCAAATTCCAACTTTTCAATGTTTTATGCATGTATGTATTTAATATTTTATGCACACATGTATTCTTATGTATGTATGCACACACGTATTTAACATATGTGTGTATTTAAGTGGTTTTGAGAGTGGGTACAGGCAATGAAATCATATAGCAAACCACGAGAAAGGAACAAGAGGTTCTGGGAAAAGGAATGCGTGAGAGAACACGTGACACACAAGTGGCTGTGGGGGTTGATGGGCGCAAGGGACAAGAGAAAAGGGGAGGAAAAGAAATCAACAAAAAAATGTGCATGAAATGTCATAATGAAACCTAATATTCTGTAAGCTAACAAAAACAAAAGATAGTCCAGGCTGAGCTGGAACTTGCAACATAGTGCAAGATGCTCTGAACTTGTGATCCCCTGCCTGAGTCTCTGAAATACTAAGATCACAGACATGTGCCACCAGAGCTGGTCAATCACTCTGATTCCTTATGTACTATGCCAGACATCTCTCTCCAGCTTAATCAATACTTAAGTTTTTCTGCATCAAAAACCACTCCCAAGAGAACTTCCATTCTCCATTCCCCACAATCCTTCTCTTCCTCTCCTTGGGCTGGTAGAGTGGCCACCATCTCACCAATAGTCCTAAGCACCCTAATGGAATGGCTTGCTGCGTGGTGACTCTGTCAACTAGTGGTCTTTTAAAGGAATACTGACTGGTCCATCTCTCAGGAGCATTAACATCTCACCATGTCTTCTGTCCAGTAACCTTCATCTTCAGTGACACCACTTCTCCTTGAGCCCACTCTCTGCCAGTTCCCTCACTAAGTCCTTTAAAACACATGTTCTGCCCTCAGAACCCATCATTCTCAATTTGATTCCCTCATTAGGCATCCTAGCACCCAGACAGTAGGACTATCACGAGGCCGAGGCCAGCCTGGACTACACAGTGAGACCCCGGCTCAGGAGAGAATCTACTTCTCACCCTGAACTTGAGTTAAGCATAAGCGTCCCACTACAAGAACATTCCCGCAACTAGGTATCATGCACTCCAAATGTCACTGGCAAACTTTCTTCCAGTTTTGGTAAATCTTGCATTTCTTATCTTCATAGGCAACTCCAGTCAGGTTTTACCAATTCCATCTAGTAACTATTTCACAAGCTCATCTTCTTCATGTCCAGATTATTTTAAGTGCTGAAATGACCCGTCAGCCTACTGGATAGCCTTTCTGCTCTTTTACTCGGTTCCTTCAATCTCCCTTGTTTACTGTTCTCTGAGAGAAGTGCACACATACACAGTGCTGTCGGGTGACTTACCAATAATCCATTACCTAGCTGCCCAGAGTTTAACATCTAGGATGTCAGTTTTCTTTACCTGAGCACTAATCTGATTTTGTCTCATTTCACTACCTGATTTCTTCCCAAAAACCCTATATAAACTTTCCTTTTCAGTCATGTCAAATGATTTTCTATTCTGTCAAAATGCCACACTTTGCCACTCCTCGTCTAGAACACCTGTGATGCGCCTATGTAATTTACACTTATCTATACTAGCAGAGTCAGGTCACACGCCACCTTGGCGACACGGGCTTTCTATACTCTTGTTTGCTCAAGCATAGCAGTCCCCTTTCTGTTTCTCAGAGACATACTTAAAAGTAATTGTCATGTTATGATGTTAATCTTCCGTTCTCGGCTGGTCAGGGATAGAGACAGCAAAATACACACAGCTGTTTAGAATGGAGTTCTCACTATGCCATCCCGGACATGTACACAAAGGTATTCAGATACTAGTTGACTAAATGAAGAATCTCGGTTAAAATATATAGCAGCATCAAATCCACCTTTTATTTTTGGGGATTAGTCTCAACATAGGTTAGGCTTGTTTCAAACTCATTATATCACAAAGAATGTCCCTGAGATCCTGATGTTCTTGCCTCCACTGTCTGGGTTCTGGGAATACAGGATTGTGTGTGGAATCAAACTCACGGCCTCTATCTATGAGCTATGTTATCAGTTCCCAAACTGTTTTATAAGCAAGATAAATTTTTATTTGAAGGCAGTATTAGGGCAGTTCATTTTAGGATGTTTGGGCTGAAAGATTAGAAAAAATAGACTCATATAACTATTTTTAAAAATAATATAGGATTCAAGCATGTTTTTGTTACAGATGTCATCTCATAAGCTATATATAATATTGCCTAGGTATGAAGAAAGATATACCATAGAGGTTTGTGTAAGAACATTCTTTGGTATTGGTACAATAGCAACACTGCTTATGAACACGTTCTCAGAACACATACAAACTATAAGACTGCATAGCATACACATAAACACACATGGGGATGGGAGAGAAAGGAAAAGATACAAAAAGTTATTTTGGACCTATTTATAAAATGACAGATTACATCTACACCAATAAATGGGCTCAGAAGTTTACTAACTTGCTCTAAGAAGCTGAACTCTTGAAACAAACAAATGAACAACAATAAAAAAACATAAACTAAAACCTAATGTCTATTCTAAGTAGTATTTAATCTGGGAACAAAGGAGTCAGTGTTTCGAACATTAACTGAGACCTATATAGAAAACACCACAAGAAAATACTGCTACTTCTCTTTTTAACCAAAAACAAACAAACAAACAAAAAACCAAACTTCTAAAATTTTATGTGTCTAGGTGTTCTGTCTGGATATATGTCTGTGTAGCATGTGCAGGTCTGGTGTTGTAGAGGCCAAGAGGGCAACAGATCTCCTGCAACAGGAGTTATGGTTGTGTCGGCTGCTGGGAATAGAACCTGCATCCTCTGGAAGAGAGTCAGAGCAGAGAGACTTCTGAGTCCTCTCTCCAGCTCCCTTAGATCTCTTACTCTTAATACTGTAACTAATAAGTGCAGCTTAGAGAAAAACAAGCTTCTATGGAACGACTCAGTTTTGTTCTTTTTTTTTTTTAAAAAAAAAACACACACACTATAATCTTCTTCCATCAATTAATATTTGGAAATAAAAATGTACTCTGTTGTGAACCAAAACAAACACTAGTGTGCAGAGAGAACCTCCTGACTCTTCTACTAACGAGAAGATGCAGAGTGACACCGGCAGCAGGCTGGCCTTTTAAAAATCTATAAACCCTGTACATCCTCATGTGTCTAACAGCCTGACCATCAACAGCCAGTGTCTGAGTAGCCCAGAGCTGCGCCGACTTCTCCAGAGGAAAACAAGTTCCCATCAGAAACTTGCTTCATCTGAAAATGACAAGACAAATTTTCACACTACAATTTATAGTTCTGATAAAGAGAAAATTCTGAAGATAAATTTCCAACCAACCATCTTCTACATACTGAAATCAGAACACGAGCCTTTAGCCAGAGCAGCTGCTGAAGTGTGGACTAGTGTTCCAAAGGGCCCTTTTTATTTTCTGTTTTTGAGACAGGGTTTCTCTGCGTAGCCCTGGTTGTCCTGGAACTCTGTAGAGCAGGCTGGCATCTGTTAAATTTGTATTACCCTGTAAGCTGCTGGCCCATGAGCTCAGAAAGTGAAGGCATACTTACCACAATTTGGTCTTCAGACGCCGTGGAGACACTACTGTCATCAAAATAGTACCACTTTCCATCATCTTTATTTTTTGCAAAAGCAGTATCTAATGAAAAAATATAATTACTTCTATGACTGGAGTATCTATGGCTTTGGGGGGGGAGTCTCAAAACTCTATAATCACCTACATAAGAAATATCTACTAAATGACATGATAATCATCTATATCAGGCATAATATATATTCACTTGATTTGACAAAGGCTTTTAGAATAGTTTCTAGCAATTGAAAGGCTTAAGACATACTTTTTTCCTAAGATGAAACGTGATTTTTTTCAGAAGAGGAAAAATAGCATTATTATTATTATTTTTTTAATGAACAGTGATTATGTGACCAGGAGCAGTGCTATGTACTGTGCCCACACTAAGGTGTCCCCATTACTCTTCACACTGTAAATATAGAGACCAAGGCTTCCAGAAGCAGACTTTGTTAAGGCACTGTAGCTGATATGCAGCAGAGCTAGGACTTAAAACGGAGACTGCTTCTGCATCGAGAATTTCTATTAATTTAACTTATTTATTTAAATTTTCTATATTTTCTTTTCTAACAACTCTACTTAATCTGTACTTTTTACACATTAGAATTTCTTCTGTCTTTAACGACAGAACAAGAGAAAGATAAAAAATACAGAGACTTCATTATCCATGCTCTGTACAGACCATCTACTTAAAACTCCTGCGTGCTAACAGAGCACTTCCCAACACGGTCATTCACTTGCGCTGGCTTTAATGAGGAACTGAAAAGCAGCTTCCTTCGTGCATCCCTCAAACCTTTCTTTTGCTCCTCCTTCCATCCACGAGGATTCACTACTGAAGAGCTGTGCAGGTCCTCGTTCGGAACTCTTTTGAGGATCCACCAACTCAACAGTATTATGTTTTTATTCTGTCTACTTTCTTAAACCTGCTGAACTCATCTGAGGGAAGCCTACTGTGTGTGGTGAGTTTGCTACCTGAACTCAAGAGAATTGCAGTATAGACGATGCACTTACAGAAAAAAACATATTCTCAGTCTTAAAGAAAATATATAATCTCAGATTAAATAAATAATAAATAAAGTCTTTGAAAATAGTAGCAAGATAAGTCTTTGGGGAAGATTATTAAAAAGTCATAGTGAGAAAACAATAAAAAAAATAGCCTGACAGTAACTATAAATAGTCTAAAATAAATTGGAATTTGGGTGAAATGAATATACTTTTAGAGAAATGGAAAAATGTTCAAATATACAAATAAGAAAAAGAAAACTGCCCAATAATATCATAATAGTCCAACAATGACATAAGTAGAAAATTTTATGGGGTAAAGTCCATAGTTTGACAGAGAATTCCAGTATGCCTGATGGATAATTATTCCCCATATTGTTCTGATGATTGCAGGAAATAAAAAAATCCAATCTAGCTTCTTTATAACCATAAGTTCGATCAAAATGAAATAATAATAATAATAAAAGACTCATGAATGAAATTGTAACAGTCCTTATGAGTCAACTTTGCATTAAAAATGACAAAAAGACAAATTCAAGAATGGAAATCTGCCACAGTCAACCTCGGACGATCTGGCACTCAGTTTCGTCAAGAATGCCCCTTCTGGGTAGTTCAAAGGAACCCTCAGCTAACATCATCAACAGTGACATTTCACAGTCTTAGAGTAGTAAGGAGTTAAATGTGATTTAAGTGGCAAGATACAGTGCAATCAATTTAAGTCACCAGTGGTGAAAGCAACAGATTAAACAGGCATGAACCGACAAGATTAAGTCTAAAGTCTTAGGAAAGTTACTAAAATCATTAGAAAGTTATTAAAATCATTGCTTACGTTAACACATGTGCATAGTCTACAAGAACACAACACAGACATGTTAGCAGGAAGAGAATGAAGAATGGGGAGGGAAGCACCTGAACAGACCCAGGCCTTCAGTTGAGGAGGATTAACTAATCCCTTTAGAACCGGGTTTTAAAATAAAGCTGATTCATTCATTTACAAGGTATTGAACAATGATTACATGCAAGATACACCTGACAGTTTATTTACTTTAAAAAGCATGAACTATCTTACAGGAAAAACTACAGATGGGAAAAATGGTAAAACAACTTACAATGTCCACCTCCCATCCCTCCATAGTGGTTGGAAACAGCAATCAAATTATAGCGGCAAGGGCCTGCGTTTGGATTAATCAGGAATTCTGACATATCCAAGTCACTGTTAAAAAAGAATTCAGTTAAGTTATGCTTTCGTTAGAACTAATGAAAATCTTTTTCTTTTAAAATAATAAATTCCAGTGTCTTCTGTTAGTACTGACTCTCACATATGCACATACACAATCATTAATACAATATCTCACACACACAGGCACCCCTCATACAAGAAATTACCTAGAGATAACCTACCAAACAAATTATATACTGAGATTTGAGTGTTTGGAAATCCTTGTCTCAAGTGATAACTTGACAATAAATGCTATTCTGATTAATGTCTTCATGCTAACACATTTAATTTATAGTGTGCCAGCATTTTTTCAAGATGAAAAGTGAAAAGCAACTTCTTTATGAACATTCAAGAGTTAAAAGCTTGGAGAACCCACTGCTGCCACTTTTCCCAGCAAGTACACTCTCTGTGTTCTCCACAAAGATGGGTGTGGCTCCCACCCTCAACAAAGAAGCACCTTTTGCTGCAGAAGGAGATCACTTTCAGTCGAAACTGGTCAATATGTAGAGACAGAAGGTCTGTGGGAGTGCTTGTTTCCAATGAATATAGTCACAACAAATTGTGAAATAGTGATCCTGACAAATTATTAGAACTAGTCGAAGCTTCAAGGCTTAAACTGGTCCGAATATATCTGACATTTACTATGATAAAACAGGAATATCATCACATCAGTTTGAAAAAAGAAGATCCAATGCTTACTGAATACAGTTTAAACTTACCTGATGGGAAAATCGACTAGTGTATCTAACTTGTCCCTCATGTAGCGACTATAGGAAAATCGTTTGAGATGCACCACAAGCACTGGAGGCAGGGACCATAAATCCAACTTCTTTGTGGCTTGCTGGTGTTCTTTACAATTTGGACAATACCTATAGAGAAGAAAAAAGTCATACAGCTTGACAGAGGCACAAACAAAAGATTTGTATTAATGAAAACTACACATCAAAAATCAATGTTTACTAAGTTTTACATTTTATCAGTAATTACTGTACACTTAATATATGTGAACATGAAAACAATTCCTCGTTATTTTTATCTCATACATTTTTCAGATAAGCTTAATCATTATAAATATATAGATAAATATTCAAAGAAATGATGGAAGTGGTTATTAAAGAAAAGGCAGTCATGAGAGTAAAGGTAACCATTGTAATCCTTTAAAAAGGGTGTCAGCACCCCTCTTTAGACTAGAACTTACTATCTAATGATCTTACTAAAAATTTAAGGAAGCTTAGTTAATATTGTGCTAACATTACCAGAGTAAATCTTTAAAGAAAAGGAACTAGACACAACCATCTAACGTCTTTTCTCACCAGGGGTCTTCAGCACCGAGTTTTTCTTTTGTTGTAAAGAGCTCAATGCAGTCTTTCAATTTCACGAAGGGTTTTTTTGGAGGTTTATATTCCACACTTTCATGTTTTTCAAAATCCTAAAGAGAAGCATTTCTTGAGTTCAGAGAACAAACGAAACAGAACTCAAGCATCTTAGTGACTTATCTTACTAAGAATACTGAAAATATACCAGCTTATGAACGAATAAGGACACAGAAAGCATGTTCAAAACCAACCTTTTGCCTTAAAAAGTAAACAGGTTCATGATTTTCTTTCTTTTTTTTTTTTTATGGTGAAACATAAACATATATGTAGAAGCAAGGGAGAAGAGAGGAGTAAGGGCCAGCTCTCAACAGTCATGTGAAAAAGGCAAAGACGGCCCAGAAGGAGTGAGGGCTCACCTCGGCAGCATTCTCATCAAAGTATCTCTTTTTCAAATCAGGATCCCAGTCCAAAGCCAGAAAAGATCTTTCTAAGGTGGAAAAATATTTTTTCATGAAAAATGCAGTAAGCTTTAGTTTTAAAATAAACAATATCTTAATGCCAACATATATACTACAGAAAAGAAAGAGCAATTTCTTTAAAGCACTATTTTCTACTTGTACTAGGTGATCAGGGCAAACACTAACAGCTATTTCCAAGTCACTGAATAATCTAAGCATTAAAAAATAATACAAAGCTAAAGCATACATACACTAACCTCATTTTAGTATCACTTATTATATGAAGACATTAAGGCTTTTATTCCTTATAGACAAGTATTTATTTTCATGGCAGGTCTAAATTTCATGGTCTACACCTAAAAATACTTTGTTATGCTTAAGTTCAGTGTTCAAACTATTTCTCACAGACACTCACCATCTAGCCGAAGCTGCCTATCATCAAATCTTATATGCCTGGTGTCATCTTTGATGTAGTTGATATCAGTGTTGCCTAAATTGATGAACTGGAATGTAAACAATCGCTTTTTGTGTCCTGTGAGTTGACCTTTGCAAGTTTCTTCAGTACACAATCCATTTTCAGAATCGTTGTCTCCTCCAACCGAATCTTCAGACTGACTGTTGTCATTCTCTGAGGGAAGTTCTTGATCCTGGCTGGACTCATCATCTGGTTCATCTGTCTCCATCTCACCTTGGCATTTAAATAAGAATTTTTACATTAGCCATACATTACATTTCAAAGTAGGTATTACTTTTCCATATCGACTCTTGTGTTTTAGCTTATTAATTCAGATCTCAACCTTTTCTTTGGGGCAATATTGTCTACGTCAGAAGTGTTTAGAATATGACAAGAAAGTCTTACTTGGTGAGCCTTCTTCATGTATGCCATTTGGGCCGTTCCCATTAATATTCTGGTCCTCACAGCAACGCAGGGGTCCATCAGTTTCCTCAGTTTCAGTAGACATCTTGACATACCGGCTGCAGTAAAATCAGGCAGCCAATAAGCTTGTAAAATTAACTTTCCATTTTACTTAATAAACAATTTTAATTCAAACTCCAACCTAGCACTCATATAGTAAAGCTGGATAACAATTTATACCTGGGTTGCTTTTAATATAACAAAGTGATTTACTTCTAGAATTTTTGCTTTTTACTGCTACTGTTTTTGAGAAAGAGTATCACTGTGTACCTGCAGTCGGCTTGGAACTCTCTATGTAGACCAGGCTGGCCCTGAACTAGTTCTCCTGTCTCTTCCTCTCAGTTCTGGAATTAAAGGAATGTGCCACTACACCTGGTAGCATGTTCTTTTCAATTTTTTAAAATTTAATTATATTTTTGTTTATCTGTGTGCAGATATAGATTAGAGGACAAACTTGTAGCTTCTGGCTCTTTCCTTCTACCTCATCGGCTTCAGGGATTGAATTCAGGTTTTTGGGCATGGTGGCAAGCATCCTTACCTACTGAATCATCTCATCAGTTCTGGCTTTTCCAAGTTCTATATGTTAAAAGTACAGCAGAGTAGATCATTTCTGAACTTAAAAGTAAGAATTTTATAAATGATGCTCATTACCATGCTGTATATTGTTGCTAGGAACACTTTTATATTTGTGCAATGTGATTTTCATAAATGGATCATGAATTTATAATGATTTGGTTTATAGAAAATAAAAAGAATGTCAGCCATAAGGGTAAAATAAAGTTCTTTAATTGTATTTGTCATACCTTATTTACTTGAAGACTATAAAAAAGAAATCAGCTGGGCGGTGGTGGCGCATGCCTCCCAGCACTCAGGAGGCACAGGTAGGCGGATCTCTGTGAGTTTGAGGCCAGCCTGGTCTACAAGAGCTAATTCCAGGACAGGCTCTAAAGCTACAGAGAAACCCTGTCTCAACGCCCCCCCCCCCCAAAATCCATAAAAAAAAAAAATCAAAGTGTGGTACACTATCTCACCATCTGCCACAAAAGCTTATTCTTTTAAATCCACATGCATTAAAAAAAAGGGCGATGGTGGCGCACGCCTTTAATCCCAGCACTCGGGAGGCAGAGACAGGCGCATCTCTGTGAGTTCGAGACCAGCCTGGTCTACAGAGCTAGTTCCAGGACAGGATCCAAAGCCACAGAGAAACCCTGTCTCGAAAAAAAACCAAAAAAAATAAATAAATAAATAAAAGAAATTATTTTAGCCGGGCGGTGGTGGCGCACGCCTTTAATCCCAGCACTCGGGAGGCAGAGGCAGGCGGATCTCTGTGAGTTCGAGACCAGCCTGGTCTACAAGAGCTAGTTCCAGGACAGGCTCCAAAACCACAGAGAAACCCTGTCTCGAAAAACAAAACAAAACAAAACAAAAAAACAAAAAAAAAAAAGGACCATTTGACATTTATTATGATTTCTAGTTTGTTCTTATATTACATTTATCTGCCAACTAAAACTTCCAACAGTAAACTTTTGGTGTAAAACAGCTAAGAATTCATGTTTCTGGATTTGAAATAATCTCAGTTGTGTATTTTATATGAGCAAGTCAAGGGACTAAATTGTCATTTTATTTTTACTTCATTATTGGGGGGTGAGAGTTGAGGCACTCTTTGATGTAGTCCAGAATGGCCTCAGATATACAATATAAAAGAAACAGGATTAGAATTCTTGATTTTCCGGCCTCCACATCAAGTGCTGAAATTATAAGTACACATCCCAACCCTAGTCCATGCTGCGGGGTCTCATGCTGGACTGAGATCACAGGTGTTCATCACTGCCATACCTGGCTGCCATCAACTTTCTATCAGTTTGGTTAGAGATGTGTATAACACTCTGGTAGTACTTGAACAATGACATTCATTAGCTATTTTATATTTTATTCTCATGTTTATTTTGCATAGTTCAGCTTATTTGGCACTTACCACATTCTCAAGAGTAGAAGATTATAGAGTTTATCTTCAGTATTGTTTCGTGGTACAGCCATAAGAAAAGGCTGACCAAACAGTGAAGAGCCAGTATGGTGGGTATAACTTGAGTGTCTGAATTTTTCTCTTAGGCAAACAGGAATAACCACATGTTCTGTGTCTTCTGTCCTGTTGATATTAATTTCAAACCTACAAGGGCGGGAATGACCATAAGTTTTACGTTAGTTCTTTAAATTTTTTACCCCCCCCCAACAACAGACTCTAAACGGATATTATACTTACACATAAATGTCATCCCGCTCCATAATACTACTGAGGTTCTCATCCATGGCAAATATCCTGTGAAATCTATGATTGTATATGTCAGTGACTATCATCTAGAAGGAAATAAATGTCTATTAAGCCGGTTTTACAATACTGAGAAACCAAACCCCAATTTCCATACTTCAATCTCAGAAACATCTCACCTTATCTGCAGGCACTCCTGACAAAGCAGACAACGCTGTACAAAGATCTAGTATATTTCCAATTTTGGGCACAATAACTTTGTACTAAAAAACAAACAGAAATTGTAATGAATCTATGGCACTGGGAAAACACTCAACATTCAAGTGTCAACTCCTGGGTGATAATGTCCATCACAAGGACCTCCTAGCTGTACTGTACGCTGGTTCACTGAATCAAAGACCTACCTTAGCCCACCTCCTGGACCTGTCACCACGAAGCTGTTTCTGGGGTCTTACACTCAATAGGTTACTTCTTACCTCTTTTTGGTTATTGTACAGATTTCTAGTCCTTAGGATGCTTTTCTCTCTACTGCCATGATGTCATTCACCTAGATTCCACCCTCTTATTATTTTAACCACCCTGCAACAAAATCTTTATGTTTTCACGCTCAGTTCTATTTTTGTTGAACTGTGACTTGAATTAAGAATGACTCCCATATGCTTATATGTTTGAATGCTTAGTCATGAGAGAATGATGTTATTTGAAAGGATTAGGAGTTGTGTCACTGGGGATGGATTTCAAAAGTCCAAGCCAGTCCCATTGTGCTTCTCTTCCTGCTGCCTATGGATCTGGATGTAGGGCTCTCAGCTCCTTCTCCAGCACCATGTCTGCCTGCATGCTGCCATGCTTTCCGCCATGATGACAATGGACTAAATAAACCTCTGGACTGTAAGCCAGTGTCAATGGACTGTTTCCTTTAAAGAGTTGCCGTGGCCACGGTGTCTCCACAGCAACAGAGAGATATTAACTTTCTCACAGAGTTTGTATATGCTGAGAGAACTTCTCAAACCTCAGCACTGGCGGGCTACAAATCAGAGTTGAGTTCACCACTGCCAGTAGCACTTCTGTGGGTCACTCCCTTGTCCAGGAGCACTTCTGTGGCCACTCCCTTGTCCAGGAGCACTTCTGTGGCCACTCCCTTGTCCAGGAGCACTTCTGTGGTCACTCCCTTGTCCAGGAGCACTTCTGTGGCCACTCCCTTGTCCAGGAGCACTTCTGTGGTCACTCCCTTGTCTAGGAGCACTTCTGTGGTCACTCCCTTGTCTAGGAGCACTTCTGTGGCCACTCCCTTGTCCAGGAGCACTTCTGTGGTCACTCCCTTGTCCAGCATGCAGTAGCTATTTGTATCTGCCCCATTTCTTAGCATTCTACTATTTCCTTTCTCCTTTCACTCCCTGAAGAACACTTCACCTAGAAAACTGAAGCCTCTTTAAGTAGGAAAGTCTGGCTTCCTGTCCTTTACAAACCTCAAGTCCAGAGGTTGTTTTGGTCCTGTCTCTGAGACTACGAGAAGACAGAGATCTTTCTTCCCATGCACACCTGACCCTAACACCTAAGAATGCTATCTTTTTCTTTTTTGACACCTAAACTCCTTCTCCATTTACCTTAACTTCATGTGAGTACCGAAATATACACAAGTCTTAAAAAATTAACAAATCCCTAAACCAAAATAGTCCTTTACTGTCTTTCCCTACCAATTCCCCATTTCCTAGAGCTCCCTGTGTCACTGAAAACTCAAGCGGTTTCACTTCAGTTTAAGAATGTAAGTTTAATGAATACTGAGTATCTCCATCTAGATTTTCCTCACGTGCCCCAAACAGTGCAACTCTGAACACAAGTGCAGGTGTGCCTCAATCCTTCCATCACTTCGAATGAAGGAGCTGGTAGTTTTAAGAACACTGCGTAGACACTATTCTTACTAAGAGTAAAATAAACTCCAACACTTCAAGCATCAATGGTAAGAGAACTCTGTTCAAAGGACACCTTTCATACAGTTCTATTTCTATTATGTACCAACAAGTTTGAGATATCTGGCTAGAACCCTAACTTAGGAATTTATAGCAAACAATATAGGAAAGCAGGAACCAAATCTGCTCTGTTTAGGGACAAAGGCAGGTTTCATTCTAGGCACCCACATGGTAGCTGACAAACAATCTGTAACTCTAGGCTAGGGGAGCCAATGTCCTCTTTAGGCCTCACCAGTACCAAGAACACATGTGGTATACAGACATATATGCAAGCAAAATACCTACATACATAAATTTAAAAATTGATAGAAAAATAGAGATAGTAATACTGTTATTAATCTTTTAAGCAAATACCTCAAATTATAAAACAAACATCTTGGTTGTCTTTTATGTGAGAAAGAAATTTGAACGTTTATTTTTTCTATGACATCCTTCAACTTTCCATGACCTTTTTAGTATAACTTCCAGAGGATTTGGCTTATAAAATCTATTACACAATAAACTTTATTATTGGATTGTGCTGGAGAAACCAACAGGTTTTAGTCATATCACTAGTTAAGTAAAATTAACAAATAAAAAGGTCATTACTTACTTGCATAGGTTTAATGAGTGGATCCATTCTAACTAAATAAACTTCCAAGCTACGTTCTTTTTTCATGGGCAATGGAAGTGTCAAGTAGCAAAAAGGGTCAAAGGTTACTGAGATCTTAGCACACTCAGGACACACTAAAGTAGATTTGAAAAGGCCATGAAATATATCTACTATGATAGAATCATTTCTTTTCAAATGGTTTTCCCAGGCTTCTTCAGCAACCACCTACAAGGAAAAGGAACACAAGTCACTAAGAGGTGTGAGAAAAGTTTGTAACAATGACGACGACAATAGCAAGAAGTTCACTAAAGTCTGAGAAAACTCACAATGGCGACATCAATAGCATGGAGTTCACTTACCTTATCCGGCCTGCCATCAGCATCTTTTAACTGTATATATGGTTTTTTCCTAATTCTATTCAAATCCTCATGTAATCCATCTAATAGGAAAGCTAATAGTTCTTGGCAGTCTTGCTGCTGATATCCAGAGAACTGAGGTGCAAATCGTCCTACCTGTGTCTGAAAGACAAACAAAACCACAAAATCAGATAGACAGGATTCCTTAAAAAGCACAGTTATTCTCATCATTCACATGTTTACACATGAGAAATTACCTATTTATTACTTATATGCCTTCAGTCAAATTTGTGACACATTTTAATCATCTGAAGATATGTTCCATTTAAAAATCAGTTACCTGACGTATGCAACCCCCTCTGGCGGGGAGAAGCTATACTACCTTTTAGTTTCAGCATCGTTTTGTAATTTTTGTCTTATAATTATGTTTTATTCTTTATACTTTGTGCTTTCCAGGTAGGCTACTAGTGTATAAAACGTTCCCCAAGGGGAATGCTAAGGTGTTGGCTAGAGTTCATAAACACAGTGAGTGGTAGTGTACTTTATGGGAAAACACAATTAGATGAATTTTGTTAAGCAATGAGTTATAGTGTCGGTTATGAAAACAGTGCTAATGTGTCAACCGTACAAAAGAGGGACTTTTCACACAGATACAGATAGAAGATGAAGAATGCATTGATTAATGAAAATGTGACCAAAGGCTTGATGGAATCAAATCCTGCATTTTCCCTAGGAATGTGGTTTTGTATTTGTTAATTTAACATTATGAAAAATAACTTTTGTGAAGAATGAAAAATGATTGTATTTATATAGAATAAGAATAAAGACAAATATACCCACTCTCCACAGACACACAAACACAGTTTATTTGTTTTTGTATTTCCAGTAAACATGTGATAAGTCTTTATCTGGGACAAATCAGACCAACACATGGGCTTTCTAAAAATAGAGCTGGACATGGTAACAAGCCTGTGGTCCCAAAACTTAGGAGGCTAACACAGAGGATGCTGGAGTCCAGAAATTTAAGACCAGCCTGGGAAATATAGCAAGAATCCATTGTAAAACAAAAAAATCCCATGAAAAAAAATACATACATAAAAGAACTCTCTCTAAATATATTGATCATTGACTTGTTATTAATCAGCACTTCACTGTTTATCTACGGAATTTGGCATCATTTATATAGATCTTCCTGTGATGACTGGCAGACAGATAACAAGGGACAGGTTTTCATCCTAGCTATATTAATAGTGTAAACATTATATACATAGAAATATATCTCCTCTCTAAAAGCATTCTGAAACAACTAAGTTTCAGAAAACATTGACTTGAGAAACATAATGAAAATATGGTGAAATTTTATATAAGACATTGTGAAACACTGGAGACTTAAAAGCTAGTAACCTTTTACTAAGTCACTAAAGAAAAACTATAAATTTCTCATTTGGTCATTTTTAAAAAAGGACAGTTGGGCGGTGGTGGCACAAGCCTTTAATCCCAGCAGTCAGAAGGCACAGGCTGGTGGATCTCTGGGAGTTTGAAGCCAACTTGGTCTATAGAGTAAGTTCCAAGACTGGCTCTACAGCTACTGAAAAACCCTATCTGGAAAACCCAAAAACCCAAAAACAAATAAACAAACAAAAAAACCCTACCAAACAAATGAAAAAGAGAACAAGTCTGATGGTCAAAAGGCACATTACATTTCATCTACAAGTTTCTTTAGTCTTTATAGTATGAGAATTTTTTTTTTTTTTTTCGAGACAGGGTTTCTCTGTGGCTTTGGAGCCTGTCCTGGAACTAGCTCTGTAGACCAGGCTGGTCTCGAACTCACAGAGATCCGCCTACCTCTGCCTCCCGAGTGCTGGGATTAAAGGCGTGCGCCACCATCGCCCGGCCATAGTATGAGAATTTTTAAATAAGACTTAAAAGGAATATAATCTGAATCATAGAATGAATAAGGTCTGATAATTAATAGGTGTACATGTACATAAAATTTAAAGAGAAAAAAAATCTAGCAAAATGAAACTGTTGAGGGTTGGTTTGTCTACAGAAGTCTGCCCAAAGTTTAGAATGTGAAAGAATAAATGCAGAAACAGTCCGATTTATTAACTGCTCCATATTTTTATATTAATTTGTTCTTAATTACATTTATTTATTGTTTGTGTACACACACGGTGCTCCAAGGACTCATTTATTTTCTTAATCATATATTTAATTTTTTAAGTCTTATTTTATATACGGGAATTTTGCTTGCATTTTCATTGTGCCTGTGGAAACCACCCTGGAAATGGAGTTACAGATGGTAGGTTGATGTGGGATGTCTTTCTGTATATGTGTTGCTTTTATTGGTTAATGAATAGAGTTGTTTTGGCCAATGGCTTAGCAGAGTAAAGCCAGGTGGGAAATCTGAACAGAGACAGATAGAGAGAATAGGCAGAGTCGAAGAGACGCCATGTAGCTGCCAAAGGAGAAAGATGCCAGAGCCTTACTGGTAAGCCATGGCCTCATGGTGATACATAGACTAATAGAAATGGGTTAATTTAAGATGTAAGAGCTAGTTAGAAACACGCCTGAGCCATTAGCCAAACTATAATATAGTTTCTGTGTGATTGGGTCAGGGCAGCCAGGAAACGCAAATGCAGTTTCCATTTACAGTGGGTAGCTACTATGTGGGTGCTAGGAACTAAACCCTGGTACTCTGGAAGAGCGGCCAGTGTTCTTGAATGCATAGTCATCTCCAGTTCAGACTCATTTGTTAAGAACTGATAGCTAATTAACAAGATATTCTCTAGTAGATGGTCTACGAATGCCACTTACCTGTAAAGACTATGGCTTACAATAACTGAGTGTGGGATCTAAGAAGTAACCACCTCATACATACACACATTCAAGTGTAAGAACCATTGAAAATATAATTTGCAGATTAGTTTCATTCTGATTTTTTAGAACAATCTACAATAACCATAAGGATAAGCTAGGTTACTGAGACTTAAAGGCATGCCTGAGGGAAATTCTTTGTATCACATAAAATATTCATGTAGGGTTTCCAGAGTCTGAACCCTTTTAAACCATAATGTCTCTTTATTTGTCTTATTATTCCTTCCCTCTACTGATAGCCTTATTCATAAAGATTTAATTTTAATTATGAGTGTGTGTGAGTTTGCATGTGAGTGCAAACACCCGTGGAGGTCAGAAGAGGGCATCAAATCTTCTCCAGCTTGAGTTACAGACATTTCTGAATGACCTGATGTTAGTGTTGGCAACTCGTGTGCTAAAAACTCGGGTCCTCTGGAAAAGTAGAAGTGCTCTTAACCCCTGAGACATGCCTCTCCAGCCCATTTCTAGACATTAAGAAAACAAAAGCCGAACAAAAAGTCCTAACCACCCATCCTGTGCTATGTCCTGAAGTTTTGTATCAAATGGGTGGAGACAGGGAGACGATGATATGGGACTTCATCCCTTTCACCTGAGGATCCCACTTGCCCTCGCCCCAGGGACAGGAGCAGACATGCTGAGAATAAGTTTGCCATACTAACCTTAAATGCTCTAGGAGTGACGTAGCTAAATTTTCCAGACCACATCTGCTTGATCAGTTCAGCATATGATTTAGCTATTTCACCTCTCATTCCTAAGGGATTGTCAAAATTCAGTTCTTCTTGGTACTTATCATTGAGGAAATATTCAGTAAGTGGAGGTGTGTTGCTCAAACACTGCAATGAACAAAATATATTTTAAAGTAAAAGTAACCACATACACAATTAAAAACATCAATTTACCATAACACATACAGAAAAAATTCAATGGTAACTGTCAAACACTCAAATGAGGCACTCATATTATTCATTTTCCAAGCTTTCAATCATTTACTTAAAGTAAATAAAAATACTAATGTTTGTTGCTGCAAAATCTGCATTAATTTTAACCACAGCAAACTACCTGTTAACTGGGAGAGAAGCTCAGAGTTTTCTTTCCTTCTTTTACTTGATTGGTAGAAATTATGGATTGTCTAATCATCCAGGCACCTGCAAATTAGCCTGAGTAGGTAAAAACTGAGATAGTGTGCAAGCGAAAAAAAAATCACTTAAAAGAGGTACAGATGGTTCGTGGTATCCATGGACTCAAATTAATTAAAAATAGGAAAACATTTGTGGGAAAAAAAAAACCACATTCACACTGACCAAAGTTGTTTCTTGTCATCACTCTTTAGTCAGGACAATGTAAAGGCATTATAAGCAAGCCAGAGATGACTGGAAATGTACAGGAGGAGATACTCAGGGTATGTGGCAATATAAGCCACATAACAGCAAACACTCTGTGTGTCTGTGGGTTTTCAGATCAATCCCTCATGGATACCAGGACAACTGTATTCACTGCTTCTGCAGCCAGTGCCTTACCATACAGGAACAGTTTTCAAACCTGCCGTGTGGCTGGCAGCAGTTTTTAGAAAGGGTAGTGCTGACCAGTAACCTAAAAAGACAAACTTTAGGAAGACCCTGGGTGTGTTCTTTTGATAGCTCTAATAATAATCCAATTTTCTTTTATGAAAATTAAGAGTGGAGAATTTTTGCAGCTTTTATTTTCATCTGAATTAATTCCTGAAGAAAAAAATTTTTAAAAGATGGTAGAAACACATCTCCCCCAATATTTTACCTTATGATGGAATAATTTTAAACTGATGATATATATAATCTGACCTCAGTAAGAGCCAAGTTACTTTATTAAGGAATGTTTGAATATGCAATGTGTCACATACACATACAATCATGTAAGTCGTACAAACAGCCATATATATCTGTTTGTCTTGGAGTCCAGTGACAAAAGTGCTATATAAGAAACCGCTGCTTGCATGTAACTTTTTAAAAAAACCACTTTGTTCAGAGTCTCAATCAATATTCATGGATATCAAAGCTTTGGAGAAATAGTGTGCAACTAAGTTAAATCGGCTTTGGAGCTCTGAAAGGTTCAGCTTGCTGGGTTCATACAGGTAATTCAAATTAAGAGCATATTACGTAGTCTGGTCAAAAGACGAGGTAGGCATATTCTACTTTTAGTTCTTTCAAGTAAATTATGATACTCTTTTTTTTTTAAAAAAATCAACTTATGTTTGCTAAGTAATCATAATTATCTATAAAATCTGAATGTAGTCTAAATTGGTAGTCTAGCCCCACCCCTCAAGATGAAGGTGGAAACGTATTAGTATCCCGGCTGGAGCTGACTGTCAGATCCTCCCCTCTTCCTAGCTCATCTAAGTGGTCTGAGAATAATGACACCTGCTATGGCTGAGGCCCCCCCCCCCCCCCCCCCCCCCCGTGCTCTTATTGCACTGTACTTCTGGTTGTGAGATAAGATCTTAAGTGGCCCAGGCTAGCCTTGAACTTCTCGTTTCTTGCCTTGGTCTCCAGAACAACTATGATTACTGACCACTACTAGGTTTAGTCATTATTTTATGATTCAGGTTGGGCTCTGCAGGTCTTTAGAGTCCTTTATGTTTGCCTACAGTATAGAAACAGGCTTTGTAGTAAGAGAGAAATACATAGGGAGTTTATAATGTAGATGGTAAGGAAGGGAAAGAATACTGCCTGCTTGTTCTCAAGTCCTTTTATGCTTCAAAAATCTTATACTCTACTTGAGTTTCACTTTCACTTTCAGTTCTAAACCGTGCACTGGAGGAAGGGCCAGGCAATAGAGAACACATCAGGACACAGATGTGGTCACCTTGCAGCACCCTTTGATTTACCACAAGTAGATCAACACAAAACAGAAAATTAGGCTAAGAGGCAGTCACAGCAATATATAACAACTAGCACCAGTTCCAAATCTTCTATTTGATTTGGTCAGGATTACGATAATTAATTATTATACTTATACAAAAAAACAAATTTATGAATAATTTCTGAACTTTATTTTTACTAAGTTATTCATGGTTTGTTTTGTTTTGTCTTTTTGAGACAGGGTTTCTCTGTGTAGCTTTGGAGTCTGTCCTGGAACTAGCTCTTGTAGAGAGACCATGCTGCCCTCGAACTCAAAGAGATTTGCCTACTTCTGACTCCTCGGTGCTGGGATTAAAGGTGTGCACCACCACTGCCTGGCTCATGTGTATTCTTAACTTATAAGACCTTTCAAATACAAAAAAAAAAAAATTAACTCTCTACCAGTGGTCTTTTAACTATGTTTAATTATGTTACTGCCTTGCTATAAAACCTTTAACAGGTTAGAGAGAGGGTTCAGTGATTTAGAGCATTGGCTGTTGTTCTTCTAGAGGTCCTGAGTTCAATTCCCAGCAACCACATGGTGGTTCAAAACCATCTATAGTGAGATTTGATGTCCTCTTCTGACATAAAGTTGTATGAGTAGATAGAGTACTTATAAAAAGTAAATCTTAAAAAAAAAAGGCTCGGCAGTAGTGGCACACACCCTTAATCCAGCACTTGGAAGGTAGAGGCAGGATAATATCTGTGAGTTTGAGGCCAGTGTGGCCTACAAGGTGAGTCCCAAGACAGACTCTCTTTCCCAAGAGAAACTCTGTCTTGAAAAATAAAAAACAAACAAAAAAACCTTTAGTAACTTCTTATAGTCATACTAGAACACCAATTCTTAGACAAGTCTCTTATTCATCTATGTCCTTGACAAATGCCTTTAATTACTTTCTTCACTGACAGTCTCTTAACTTCTATGCTTCCTCTCAATACGTAACGTGCACAACTTCACCTATCTGAAAACCTATTTTCATGCCTTATTAGCTCCATCATCTAAATGAGATCTGGGTGTCCTGCCGGGAATGTGTTTTCAGATCCTCAACAAAGTTTCCTGCTGGGCTTGCACACTGCTCAGTTCACTTTCACTATAGCACTGGTTTTACATATTTTGTAACATCGTTGCTAATTTATGTCACATGGGCTATAACTTTCATATCTGTAATCTTCAGCACTTGGCATTGGTCATACATAATAAATACATATGTTTAATAAAATGTTTTGCCTGTATTTACTAATTTATTCTCTCAGTTTTTATTCCTTTCTCTCATTATCTAACACAGAGTATTCAATTTTTGTCTAATAAAATCTTAGCACATGTGGTAAGTATATATTTGCTTATAATGAATGACTTCAAAAGCACCGTAAAAACCCAAGGATGAAAGCAAAAGGACAATATGTATTGAACCCATTTCACCTTTATGTCTGAGTTTTCTCTTGGCTTTGCAGTGAACCTGTTCTGATCCTCTAGACTAGTTCTTATTTTCACAGGGACACAAGTCAGTTTGAACAGTACCGCCACACTAAAGAATGAAATACAAATACTCTTAACACGTAGGGGCCTGGACTACTTATAGAGATGTCATAGTTCTGTTTCTCTAACAACTTATAAAATCACATGAATACAGAGATCCAACAGCTAGCCAACCATGTTACTAATTACACAAATAACATTAACTTAAATTCTAAGTGATGTCAGAAATTTCTCTAATCTTCCAAGTATTGGTACATTTACAAGTTGTGTTCTTTAAAGATTTAAATAAAGTAAGGACCAGTTACTATAACTTTGGGTACAAATTTCAAGAGAATTAAGGTCAAGCATCCAGGTGTCTCTGTGTCACAGGTGCCATTCAACCCATGTAAAACACCATCATTTGGGGAGAAAAGCAGCAGCCAGTTTCTTAAGCTCGGTTGGTTGTGTTGCTGTTTGATGTGAAATTATTGTTTATTTTTTTGATAGCTTAGGTTTTTTACTAACGAGTTCTATTTATTTATTTATTTATTTATTTAAGATTTCTGTCTCTTCCCCGCCACCGCCTCCCATTTCCCTCCCCCTCCCCCAATCAAGTCCCCCTCCCTCCTCAGCCCGAAGAGCAATCAGGGTTCCCTGCCCTGTGGGAAGTCCAAGGACCACCCACCTCCATCCAGGTCTAGTAAGTTGAGCATCCAAACTGCCTAGGCTCCCACAAAGCGAGTACGTGCAGTAGGATCAAAAACCCATTGCCATTGATCTTGAGTTCTCAGTAGTCCTCATTGTCCGCTATGTTCAGAGAGTCCGGTTTTATCCCAGGCTTTTTCAGACCCAGGCCAGCTGGCCTTGGTGAGTTCCCAATAGAACATCCCCATTGTCTCAGTGTGTGGGTGCACCCCTTGCGGTCCTGAGGATGTGAAATTATTATATCATTTAGTGTTTTCATACGATCTTATCTTAAAATGAGAAAAGCCTTTGATGATTGAAATAGGATGCTTAGACTGGCTGCCACTGCACATAATGTTCTAAAGAATAACTCATTTTTAGTGTGTGTGTGCATGTTTCTCTATATTTAAATGAGGAAATTACCCTCTTAGACTTAAAAGATACTAGGAATACTAGATAATAGAGTACGGACTAACAGTCTTTTGTATCGTATGTAACCTAAACACGTCCTTGACTGTACAATTCAGTAAAACTTTAATTTCTTAACATATATGGTAGTTGCTAGCAAAACCAAAGCATATATGAGCACATTATAAGAAAAACCAGATGCATGTATTAGTAAATGCACTAATTTCCTTACATTCAGCCACCTGACACTGTCAAACATCAAAATCAAGAAAGTTAGATCTTCTCATTATTTATAATAAAATGGGGCCCAAATATGAGAAAATGATTTGATATTAAGACACACATGCATATAATATTTTCTGAGATATGGTTCTATTATATAGCCAAACTGAATATGAAATCCTGATCTGCC